AGGAAGGAAGGAAGGAAGGAAGGAAGGAAGGAAGGAAGGAAGGAAGGAAGGAAGGAAGGAAGGAGAGAAATGTGGTACATTTTCATAATGGAGTATTACTCAACTGTAAAAAATAATGTCATCAGGAAACTTGAAGGCAAGTGGATGAAACTAGTAAAAAAAAAAATCTTGAGTGAGGTAACCCAGACCCAGGGAGACAAACATGTTATGTACTCATTCATAAGTGGATATTAGCTGTAAAGTAAAGGATAACTATGTTACTACATATCACAACCCCACAGAGATTAGGTAACAAGGAGGGCCCAGAGGGATAATCATGTATTTCCTTGGTAAGGGGAAATAGAAGAAATCTCATGGGTAGACTAGTAGACTGGGGTTCGTGGGGATGGGAACATGAGGGAACAAGTTGGGGTGGGGGCACAATAGATGTGGAGAGTAATGAAATAGATGTCTTGATCAGGGGAGCATTTCAGATCAGGTAGATACTTGATGCAAGGGAAACTCCCACAAATCTACAAGGATGACCCCCAGCTAAGACTCCTAGCAATAGTGGATAAGTAGTCTGAAGTGGTTATCTACTGTAAACAGATTAGACTACCCTAATTGTCATCAAAGAGCCTTCGTCCAGTAACTAGTGGAAGCAGGTGCAGAGATCCACATCCAAGCATTGGGCTGAGCCTGTGGAAGAGTGTAAAAAAGGATTGTACGAGAAAGGGAGTCAGGGTCATCACAAAGGAACCCACAGAAGCAACTACCCTGCTCATAGGAGCTCATAGACCATGGACCAATGGCTAGAGGGCTTGCATGGGACCTTCCTAGGCCTTCTGCCTGTGTATGATGATTGTGTGGCTTGGTCTACTTGTGGTACTCCTAGAACTGGGAGTGGGGCTTGTCCCCAATGCTTTGGCTGGATTTTGGATACCTGTTCTAATGTTGGGTTGTCTTGTCCAGTCTTAATACAAGGGGACGAGCTTACTCCTACCTCAACTTGATAGGCCATGCTTTGTTGGCCCCCCTGGGAGACTTGTCCCTTTCTGAACAGAGGAGGAGGGTGGACTGGGGAAGGAGACAGAGGAAGGTGAGGGAGAGAAT